AGAAAAATGAATTTCAAACCGCCGGCTTTGCGAGCGTTTCTCTTGTTCCGCCGTTCCTTAGGAGAAATCAATTTTCTGTTTATTAGCGGGAGGGATAGCCGGCTAATCGCGATTATCATATTTTCATTCCGATTTCAATCAATTTCAATTCGTTCTGGCAATCCATCATCGCCCGGCGCATTCAGATGTTTATGACTTATATTTCCACGAACACAATAGAAAGCGCCACGATATTTCTTGCGCAGAGATATTTCATATCGGAGACTTTTATTATACATTACATTTTTTTTACATGTCCTTTTTATTACAACAATAGAATCTCTCTCGTGTTCGAATGAGGGAGTTGGTATGAATGAGGGAGACAAAAGTGTAGTACGAATGGAATTTTCGGATAACAGAACAATCACTTCTCTGACACCAAATTGCACGTATCCAAACAAGGATTAAAAGAATTGTTAATTTATTTCAATATTTAAAAGTGTTATAGCTTTCGCGCTGCTGAATTGTCGAACTTTTTTAATATATATGTAATCTTGTGTGCAGTTGCATTCTTTTTTTGTCTTCAGAAGCCCTTTTCAAAATGGCTTGTATATTTCAGCGTAAAAAGATACATTCTCTATACGTACACATGTGTAAAATAAATTAGCACAATGAAGGTCATCCATCGTTAGTAAATATTCTATTTGATACTGTTAGAAAACGTCCGGATGTGAGATGCTCTGCAATATATTATGTATATCGTTGCATCGTTAAATTTCCCATAAATGCATGAACATCTACCGCTGTATTCTATCGTTACATCATTTATATTAAACTGTACCTGTTTATTCATCAAGTTTTAATGAGAAAATAAATTAATATTACTTTATTATTATTACAATCGACATTTGTCAATTTTGTTCATATACTTTGCCAAGCATCTATTTTACTTGAGAAATGTATCCCGTTGATCAAGTTGATTGAAATAAAAATAAAAAATATTTCCTACTTAGTTTTTGCAATAATCTTAATCACTATCTTACTACCGTTTTAGAATTTGTTGATTTTATTTATATGCTACATTTCACTTTATCAAGCGCCTGCCATTTCACCTATTTTATTTCCATACTAAAAAGTATATCTCGCCGATCGAATTAAATAAAATGAAACTAAAAAAATATTTATCTACTTTTCATTCTTTCGGAACAATCCTAATTACGCTCGTCCTTTGCTAATGTCCTAGAATTTGCTCTACATTTTCCACAAATAATCTCCAATTTCTCGAAACAACCTAAAGCAAACAGGGCAGAAAGTCTTCTCTCCTATAAATAAATAAATAGAAATGGGTCGCGAAATGAGCGACGATTAATCGTAGGGAAAAATAGAGGAAAGAGAGAAACGCAGCGAGAAAATGGTAATAAAAAGAGAGGAGAATCATAACACCGGGTCTAAGAAGAGGGCGGAGGTGGATCGACTGGGGGGGAGATGGATGGCGTCTAGCCTAGTAGTCGACCGGCCGCATAAAAGGGCTGCTAACGAAGCTCTGATTGCAGGCCGAGCGATTTCGATTGGACCGTGATAAAAAGTCGGCGAGCAAGGTGTCCAAGCGTAGGGCGGCCGCTGTAAAAGCGTACTAAAAATATAATGCCTGCTCGCGCCGCGTTGGCGTGAAACCCGCGGCTCGTTCACGCGGCGTGTCTATCGATGTGACCCCGTTACACGTACCCTGGCTCTAGAAAGAAGGGAAAAAAAAAAAAAAAAAAAAAACAACCCCCGCTTTTATTGTTCGCAATAAACTGGCAACGCCCGACGTATCCCGAGGTATCATCTCAAACGTTCTTCTTTGTCGCCAGGACGTCTGTATCTCGTAGATTCGAAGACGAATCGCGTCTAAAAATACATTCGCTTGATCAGTAGTCTTGGGACCACGTAATACGTTTAACGACAGAAGTTGAAAAACAGTCTACAAGCAACTTTGTTCCACAAGTATATGAGACTACGGATTGACCGTTGTTCTGTATATCATTTTAGAAATGTGAAAAAATTTTTCAGCGATGGTAATCTTTAACACAATGACCAAAATATTCATATTTATTACTTTTGTTAAACTTAATTGATATTAATTAATTACGATGATGAAGATCAAGTTTCTTCGATCGAGGAAAAGTTACTCCTTGGTTCAAAGGGTTAAATGAACTTGAAAATAGTTCGTTTCTTTTTCCTTGAGTATTTTATATAAATATCAAGGGTTGCTTTCGTTATCAGTGGGTGTTTCTAGCTGGCGTTTCGTCGAAATGCGTTTTATCTTGGCACGATCTATAAAAAAAAAAAAGAAAAAAAAAATGCAACACAGAGTAGCTATTTATAAGCCGGGGGTACATTAGACGTTCCATTTTCCCCGGCTGCTTTCAAAGAAGCGCAGTCCCAAGGATATCGTACGCTTCGCTACCTAAGGAAAACGTGTCACCTGGGGTTGAAAGTGGCAGCGCCGCGAGAATTATCGACACTGATAGCCGGCCATCGTGCTAGCAGTGGTTGATACAGGGTCGAACTTTTCGACGACGTTGAACGTACCAGCATGAACCGGCGGAACGATTAATAAATTGTCGGGAAGGAAAGTTGTTGGAAGTGGGTGAGCGGAAATTTCCTCCGTGGAAGCTTCGTGGAATATGGAGCAGAGATCGGTCCATTATTCCCCAAGAATTGTCGCAAGAGAGAGAAGAGAGAGAGAAAGAAAAAAAACAGAAGCTGGAAGAACTTATTTCTTATTAAACCTCTGGGAACCCTTCCACGAAAGTATCCGGAAAGGACTCTATCGTTCACGAATTTACTGGCTTTAACGAGCTGGTTAACATACTTCTGAATTTCCCTCCTCGTTTCAAAGTCAGTTTATTTCACATCGGGAAAGTCGGGAGGAACTTACTCCCGCGAATATATAGCAACATAATTCCTCTCTCTCTCTCTCTCTCTCTCTCTCTTTTTCTCTCTCTCTTTTCGAGCGAGAGTCGAAAGTAATGAAAATGTCAAGAGAAAGGGGTCACGAAATTGCGCGAGAGCAAGCGAAGACGGGTTAATTCGTTCTTTGGCGAAGCTTCACGGAAGAAGGAAGTGTCCGCGAAACAGCTGACTCGGGTGCAAAGCTAGCCAGCAGTCCAGACAGACAGAGCGAAGAACATCATCCCCTTTAGAAGGGCTCCAGACAGACGAACCCTCCAGGCAACAGCCCTCTGTCCCCTCCTCCTCGTCACCGGCGACCGTCCCATCGCCATAGCAACCCCTTGGATTCAGCAGCCAACCTAACCAACCGATTTGCCCACCCTCTCTCGGTACCCCGTTCGTTGTTCGAACATTTACATCAAACACGACGTTTCTTTCGTTCATTTCTTTTTTTTTCTTCTTTTTCTCTTTTTTTTTTTTTCTTTTTTTTTACGCACTCGAAATCAGGCAATCCTTTGTTACTCCAATCCTGTGATACACCGACGGTGTACGGACGGCTTGCGCATCGACGATTTCAATTTACCTTTCATTTTTACGATTTACCACGATTGGGTAAATGTTACGGATCGTTGCGCGCTCCTGTTGTAATTGGAAAGTTTCTGTTTCGCGCAGTAACCGCTGGATCAATTGGGAAGAAAAGTTTAGACACCCTTTGTTACATCGCGTGAAAGACACACAATGGCACCGTTCGTGAATCGTCACGAATGTTGCACCGCTTTCGATTCCTTTGCTTCGTTTGTTTGGCATTTTCTTCTTCCTTTTCTTTCTTTTTTTTTTTTTTTTTTTTGTGTGTGTGTGTGTGGATTCTTTTCCTCGTAGGCTGTGTCATTTATCCTGTTGTAACAAATTATAAGAAACAGTCTTTTTTTATTAAATAGAAACTTTTGCCCTCGTGACGATTATCGGATTTGTTTAAGTGGAGGCATTTCCAAGATTTCAAGATCACCTCCCAATCATATATTTTTTTATGTACAGCTCGATATTTTCTATAAAAAGATATTGACATATATGTGTGAATTAACGAACGTGAACTAGAAACATTTTAATGATTATGAAGATTATTCGAAAGTGTCAATGCAATAACAAAATAACACCGTGTCTTACACTAAATATATTACAATTTTGTGTTATGTATCTTGTAGCTATTTAATTATACACATCTGTTGCCAAAAATTTATGAATTTTTCGTCCTCAAAGATCATGTAAAAATCATTACTATACGTTGACGATAAAAAATATACACCCTCATTTAAAAATACCTCGATGATCTTAAAAGCTTTCCTTCACTTTTACATTTCCCCCTTTAAAATCAAATAATGTTTTCCTTAAAAATTGTTCTGTCTATCGTCAAAAATAAACTGAAGTTACGGTTGTTCATCCTTTACTATAATTAGACTGCATTTTTAAGTTCCATTGAACATAATCAAAGCAATAGAACTTACACAGTTAATTTGCTTTACTTACTATTAACTATAACAAATTCTTTATTTTAGGGATTTCATATATTTCTACAACTTCCAAATTTCCCATAAATGCGGGAAAATCGGCGGTTTAATTATAATGTGCAACTTGTTCGTTCTTTATCGATCCCGCGAGCGAAAAGTTGCTCAAAGTTACTTAGACGTAGTCCCAAGTCTAGACGTAGTTTCGCCGAGTATAAAATCACACCGCGTATAGAAGATTCGCCTGGCCATTACAGAAAACCACCGCTTCGAGGACAGGCCATGGCGTTTTCACCGTGAAGCCGCGCGATAGTTCAGCGAGCCGAATGATGGCCGGCAATTTTCGAAATTGCCGCCACTTTTTTTCGCTTCTCGTGCCTTCTGCTCGAGATTGCCTACGTCACGAAGCTGTTCTTCCTTCGAGCTTCTTAAGACCGCCGAACGCCATCAAGCTTCTGTCAGTCGCGTACCGTGATCCACTGCTTTTTCATCGACAGACACGGCATAACCGCGAGAATCATTCCAAAAAGAAAAAAAAAAAAAAAAAAAGAAGAAGAAAGAAAACGCCAAGTGAAAGGAAAAATGTTCTTTTCAACGACGAAAGTTCTTCCATTATTAAGCGCGTTCGCAGCGTCGATCGTCGCTCAGGATACAAAAACTACGGTGTTTCCGTTCTCCGGAAATGGCTCCGTACTGGAATCACCGAGCAGAGAAGAATCTCCGCTACGACCGGATATGACGCGTTCGTCGGAGCTTGTCGCGTATCATCCCACCGTACCTGCCAATAACTTTCTACCCGGTAACGTTTTTGCGTGTTCCTTTAATCAATTATTCTGACGAGGACAGATGCAGAAGAGCATAATCACTGACCACACAGGTTTTTTTATGTAAACTCTTTCCAACTATCGTCAATCTTTTGCGATTATAAGCGACTGGTAAGATTCACAATATCCAATCAATCTAAACAATAATTTTACTTTAATATACAGAGTTTCTCAATCTTCTGATTTTCTCGAATGTCACTGATCAATTGCTCTAATGTACTAGTTATAATACTGTTCATTCGATGCAATAGGTCAACGCGAATGTAACCGTACTCACGTCACACGAAACGAAATTAAATACGAATATTTCTCGTTGCAGGTGATTAAAAAGAAAAAAAACATACATTACTTTTCGAAATTGTTTAAATTGACAATAATTGCAGAAATGTTTCGGCAATGTGTATTTGTTGGACATCTTAGTACCAACGGAAGAACGATTTATACGAAATTTATAGTCATCGGTTCAGTAATGATACTTGCTGTAGACATTGAGCTAACGTTGATACGGTTTTCAGTGCCGTCGAGGATGTTTATTCATCACAGGAGCGACAACGTGCTACCTTACGTGTACGATCATCCGCACTTCGCTTATCCAGTAGCTCACTCGAACGATTATCCGCTTGGACCATCCTCGAAGCAGCTCGTGATCGTCAGCTTCATCGGTTTGCTGTTACTCTTCGCGATTATTCAGAACACGATCGTGAACGTAAAGCGCAGGGAGATGTTGACAGACGTGTTGTCTGCCAGGAGAAAGCGAGAGCTCTATGCTGCTTATAATTTCAATTCGGTGGTAAGATGTTAGATATTATAATTTGTCCCATTTCAGTAGGTAATGAAAATATTGTTCGTATTTGTGATGAATCGATTTAAAATTTTTTACAACTAGAGTGCGGATTTTTATACAGATTTATATTAGACTGAGTAATAAGTTCATACGCATATTCTTAGTACCTAAATATTGATATTTTCATAAAGTATCTATGGATCTAATCAAGGAATAATCTATATATCTTAATATATATATTAGGATATATAGATTATTATAAATTATTAAAAAAAATATATATCCTAATATATATATATATTTTTTTTTAATTGAAAAATTAAATATTTTTGTATTTTTGTTTCATGATATCATAAGCATCGTTTTTTTTTTTAAATTTGTCTTATAATTTATCATTAATTTTGTTATTTTCTTACGATGCATTTAGACTGAACGAACGAATGCTTCGACAAACTCATTAAGAACCAACATTGCATAAACGCAACATTTCATTTGCAATACTTTGTCAATCATTTCAAATAAAACTTCAAGAATTGATTTCTTCTTCTAGCCACGGTTTATAATTGTGCAAAATTGAAAGAAATTTAAATATTTTTAACACTACGATAAACTTAATGGGTCAACGAATGCAAATGTAAATATAAGCACAAATTTGTTCGAGTGTTCGTTTGATTGATTTAAATGTATCAAGATGAATAATGATGAATTTATAAAAGTAACTCATTTATTCCTCGAGAATCCTGTGTTTGTTAGAAGTGTGCGAGAACCCGAAAATATCGAGATTCTCAAATTTATCGGAATTCTCGAAAGAGTTGAGATTTGGGAAAGTTTTGGATACAAGCTTAAATAATTCGTTAAAACTCACGCCTTCAACTATATCACAAATCTAGAACCGATCGAGCAATTTCTTCTGTTATATCTTTTAACAATCTTTCGCGTATCATTTTGTACATGCGACAAATTTTATATCCATTCAGTTTCTTTTCTAGTACCTATGTTTGAATGCATATGCTTCAAATAGTGTTATAAACCAGTAGTATTTGCATACTTAGTTTTAAATTCATGGTGACAATGCGTGCACTCCGCCTTTTTGTCATCTTTTTCTTGAAAATGTTGCCAAACAGAGCTTCTCTTCACCTTCTTCCTTTGCACGATATCTTCTGCACTACTTCCTGCTACCACAACTTCACTCTCTCACCATCACTCGACATTTTTTTTTAAAGATTTTCAATCTTTGTTAAATTCACACAGATTTTGAAATATACGTCCAAGCTTCCCGAATTTCTCAGCGATACTGCTCAACAGCGTACATAATATCCAAGTACTAAGCACGCAGTCGCACGTTCGTTTACATCAGGTCACACGGATTCTTAGAATCCGTATTTCCGATAACTTCGCTGGCAGAAGAAATTGAACTGTGTATTTACAAATTTTGTAGGCCAAAGGTTATACAGCATTGTATAGTAGTTCGAGAAACGGTAGCCGAGTTCTCGAAACATTCTCGTTTTATGCAACGAAATTAAGAAATCAATTAAAAATTCTACTTCCGAATCATATGCACGTCTGAAGTTCCGCGCAGATGCATGAAAAATCCCCGCGGTCCAGTTGCAGCAATGACGAAGAACCAGGAAGCTCGAGGCTCGATCGAAAGTCTCAATGGATAATCAAAGTTTGTCTCTCTTGTTTCCTGCGTCGATTTTCCAGACACCGGAACAGGAAGACGTTCTCAACGAGGACGCCAGGGTACAATGCATACAGAGGACCGTGTGCCTGGAGAATCGAAAGCTCTTGAAGGCGTTCGGCGCTACCGGCAAGATACTGGCCAAGTACTTAACGTGAGTTCTAGAACGCCGATGATATTGCTTCCGCGGCCAGTTTCCAACTCGCCGTCCCATAGAAATTTAATATTCCAAGTGTCGTCGCCTGACGTGGAATCCCACCACACCCCTCTTACTTCGCCAAATGCCATCCGCACGCCGTAGGAATATTAAACATGCTTCTCACTTTCGAGGAATACCGGGGTAGTCGTCGGGTGTTCTCACGTGGACAAGGGAGAGGTGTACGTTGAGATTGTTCCGCGTTCTGCTTTCAGACGAGGTGTGGAGAAATCTCTGAAATCGTCTTCCGGATGGTTCCGTTTGGTCCGGGATGCGGGGGAGGCTGGGATTCGTGGCGAGGACTGCGAGGTGCTCTACAGACGCTGCGACGAGGAAGTCTCGTCGGGGAACGCGTGAACTATAAAACCGACAATGAAAACGTGTTACGTTAGATGCAGGAATAAAATACGTAATTACGAGAACGAGGGGGAAGAAGGCGTGATCTTTTATTATTGTTCTTAGACATTATTTTCTTAACCCTGCGGAGAATTCGCGGTTTTTCTGAGTGATACAGTGACTTCGATCTACTGTGCGACGTTTATTCATTGTTTTTAATTAAAATTGTGAAGAATGTCTCGTTTTATTAGAACAGATACAATTTGCGACTGGTAAATGAGATGTACGTATAATCGAACTGGATATAAATATATTCCTTACGGTTTAATGTACGATGAAATGTACATTTGTCGTAAATGCAATGTAAAGATGAACAGTTGAATAAACTGATAAAATGATATAATTAAATAAACAGTGGATATAAATAAATAAACAAACCGGGGTTGTATTATTAATTAAGGTCAGTGTTTGATTGGTTGTACATTTAAGACAAGATGCCTTTTGGTAAAATAGATTTAGTATTTGGATAGCGGGGATGTTTCTTCCCCTTTTTTCCCGTGTTTTAATGTGTCTATCTTTCTATTCTCCTTCGAAATGTAGAAATCGTGCTCACAAGAATGTACATAATATACAGCACCACAAAATTCGGGTGCCCCAAATTTTTAATATTCGAAAAATTGCCGATGTTTAAACTGTTATAACTTTCTAAGAAGAAATTATACGGGGATGAGTTAATTTTAAAGCGTGAGGATTCGCAATATTGGATTCGCTTTTCATAGAAATGGTGGGAAAGTAAAGAACATTGAAGAATTCTTTTCATGACAAACAGAATCTTCACGTTCTAAAAAATTAGCTTGGAATTCGTTGCCCAGATGAGCTCAGATTCAATATCGTCAATTTTTCGAACATCAGAAATTTAGCGTACGTAAATTTGCGACGAGCGTTGCATGTATGTCTGTTCAAAAATAATTAAAAAAAAAAAAAAAAAAAAAAAAAATACTTTCAACGTATCTTTCAAATCAGCCACGACTTTCGCAGGGTTAAATTCTTTTAATCTATAGTCTACTACGAATGAAATGTTCGAATTGTACTTATTCCTACAAAGTCAGACATCGACGAGTTCGAAAGAAAGCGAACGAGAGGAAGAAAAAAGAAAGAAAGAAAGAAAGAAAAATGAAAAACTACGTCAGGATGAAAGATCGAGCGACGGATGAATAAAAAAGCGGGCGGTATTAATGACTTTTAATTTTAATTACAATATGCTGTGTTGTTTTTTTTTTTTGTTCTTTATCTGCTACAAACATCGACATCTAGCCTGAACTATTTTAGATAGCAGTCCGCTCTCTATACACGCTCCATTTATACTCACTCCATCTCTCTTTCTCTCCAATCTCGTACTCTCTCGTCGTCGGAATTATAAAAAAATATCAAATCACGAACAGAATGGAGACAAACGGCCGCACGTACTACAACTCCCCTTTATTACTTTTTTTCGTCCGTTACACTTATTCTTTTCTTCTATATGTTTGCTCGTTCGTTCGTTATTTCTCTCTCTCTCTCTCTCTCTCTCTCTCTCTCTCTCTCTTACCACCCACCCCTTTCGATCTACCTATCTGTTACGAATATCGGTTTCTTTTTTTTTTTTTTCTTGCCGCGCTTCTCGCGTCACAACTAATTATACAGTAACGCTATTCCATTATTATCGTTATATAACATTAAGGCATTACATATTTATAAATTCTTCGTGTATTCACTCGCCACTATACAGCAATATCACGCTAAACTCGGTAAACTTATGCTTAAATAGACGTGAGATCGCTCGTTGCAATAGTTCAGGCTCCAAAGGAAGAAAGAACGTTATGTGAAAACAGGCTCGCAAACCGGACCGGAAGCGGTCTTTGTACACGCCGCGTTCTTTCATCGTCTCCCGCGAAACAGAATATATTTCACCTCGAAAATCCTACTCACTCTCTCTCTATTTACCCGTGTTTCGCTCGACAATCCAAAGACTTGGCTAAATTTTCGATTTGCCGCGAGAATCGTTCTTTTTCTTTCTTTTTTTTTTTTTTTCTTTCTTTCTTTTGTCGCGGACGTGCAGAAAGAACGGACGAAATACTCCGTGAAAGACCACCCGATGCCAGATGCGCTAGCATTCTTTGTTCCGGCTTTCCCTCTTTCATCCATTCTCACTCGCCCCTTTGTTTGCTCGCTTCTTTCACACTCACCACCTTTTGCCGAACGTACACACGCACTCGTACATACACACACACATACACAGCATCGTTTCTTTTCTTTTTTTCTTTCTCTTTTCTCTCGCCCATCATTTGCACGCACGCAGCTTAAAGGACCTGCTAATTACCGTATTCGTCAATAAATTAGACACATTTGTCGAGGCAACGTAGTTTACACAGGCAGGCGGCAGGCAGTTCACGAAAAAATATCTCGAAACACCCATGCTTTTTTTTCTGTGTGTGTGTGTTTTCTTTTTCTTATCTCTTATTTCCCTATTTTCCTTCTGTTTCTTGGTTCGCGAACGCTCTCCGCGACCGAGGCGGGAACAAATTGGAAAATGTTTCGCTTCGGCGAGAGGTCGCGATCGCCAAGATATTCCCTGCGGTTTTATTTATTTTTTTCTTTTTTTTGTTTTTTTCTTTTTCGCTTTCAGCGGACAATCGATCTGTCGATCGATTGATCGATCGAATTATCGACGATTATTATATCCGCTCCCTGAATTCGACGTTGATAAAAAATGTCAAGGTTCGTGAGTAAAACTTCAAGGTAAAATTTAAAGCGCGTCAAGTATAGTGAAACGATTGTGACTCGATCGTGTCGTTGGATCGATCGATCGATCCTCGTGTGTATAAAGTAATTTCGTCGAATGTGTTGTTGGTGTAAAAAAAAAAAAAAAATTGCGACATTGAAATAGAAAGAAATAAAAAAAAAAAAGAAATCGGATCAACCTAAGGAGGTGTTGTCCAACATAAATGAAAATAAAGAAGGAACTAAAAATTACTCATGCAGATACAAACGGAAATTCACCTTAGTTATTTAAAATAGGAAAGAACAAGATAACAAAAACGGGGAAATAAATGGGACATAAGATACAAAAAGAACAAAAATTCAGAACATACTATGAAAATTAATGTAAAATACGTTTGTCGATAAAAGGGTGATATTAAAAAAAAAAAAAAAATAAAAAAAGAAATAAAGAAAGAAAGCGTTGAAACGAAACACGAGCACGCGCTGATATAAAAACACGTTTCTTTATTTTTTACTTGCTTTATTCGCTGTGATCCATTATGCTTCGGCCAATCGTTAATGCGTTTTAAATAACAGTGGCTCGTCCCGGAAGCGTCGTCGCTCGAACGCAAAAAAAAAAGAAAAAAAGAACAAAAGGAAGAAAAATAAAACGTGAAAAATGACCGAGCGACGAGCTGAGGAGAACGTAACCAATCTCTCAATCCAACAGATTTTCGATCGATCGATCGCGTTCATTAGATTAGATCGGTTTCCGTACCGTACAAAAACTGAATCCACAATTATGCCGACTAACACGATATAATTGATTAATTAATTAAACTATCGGGCCGATACAATAATAATAATTATTAATATTAATCATTAATTAATAATATATACAACATTCTAAACGCTATATTTCTCTTTCCATCCTGTGTATCATGCTCGGAACGTGACACGCGCATGAAGAGAAAAAGAAATCGTCTTGTTGCTGGCTTCTCTATAGAAAATAGCTTGTAAAGAATAGGTAGTTGTGACACGACGGTAGCAAGTCGGAGGAGAGTATTACTTCGCGGAAAAAAGAAAAATGTCTTCTCTGCGCGTGTGTAAATCTCAACTTCCTTTTTCCCCTTTCTCTTTTAATAATATTTCTTGCTCTGCATCGTCAATATCTCTCTCTCTCTCTCTCTCTCTCTCTCTCTCTCTCTCTCGTTCTAATGTTCTATTTTCCTGTTTCAAAACGCGCGTCCAAAAAAACGATGGTATTTGCAGCGCTCGCATTTAATTTTTCCTATTCGTTTTTCTCGCCTTATACAATTTTTTTTTTCTTTTCTTTTCTTTTCTTTTCTTTTCCTTACTCGCTATTTGTGTAATTCCATTCGGAGATACTTGTTTCACGCATAAATGACAACACGCGCGACGTCCACGCCGCTCTCGAGAGAATCGTTTTCTTACTTCATTACTATTATTATTATTATTAGATTCATTATGTAGATTTATTTTACCTTCTTTTTCCTCTTTCTCTCTCTCTCTCTCTTTCTTTATTCTTACGAACGAGGCAGAGATTTTCGACAAACGGACGTCAAGTCACCGGGATCGTAACAATTTCCTCTACCGCTGCGCGACCGTATAAACACGCGACACACACGGTGTCCGATTTTTTTTCTGGATATTAATTTCAAAAGTTCGCAACGAGCGTCGACGCGCGGAGGAAGCACGTTGCAACGCGTTTAGCGCTCTACACGGAGGACCTTGATCCTCACCCGTTCATTCTTCGTGTATCCTTTGCCTTTTTCCTTTCTTCTTTTAGTCCTCTATAACCATCTCTTTCCTTCTTCTTCTTCTTCTTGTTTCCTTCTAATTTATTTTTTTCGTCATTCGTTCTCCGCTGCTCGAGAACTGGCCTCGATCGAACGAAGAAATCGAATTTGAATCACTTCAAGGTAATGAAGATCAACATTGCTCTAGCAGACAGCGATTTTGGGTGTGCGTATTGAGGACCGCAAGATTACGACGTGGCTGCCGATTGCGAGATCGTGCGTGTCTTTTGAGAACGGCTTTTAAAAACTGCACTTTCGACCATTAAATAGAATTCGATAAATTGTTAAACATTTTCCAAGACAATTGTTCGATAAAAAAGAATAGGTTTACTTTTCTTCTTTCACGACAAGTGCAACTGTATGTCTTGCCAGACAATGTGGAAGACGCGGTCTTCTAACGCGAATTCCACGGGGGGGGAACTCGCTTTCTATGAGAGTGAACAACAATGCGTGGTATCAGCAAGAAACCTTCCGTTCGTGGAAAGCAGAAAAACAAAAGCAGAAAGAGAAGAAGAAACAAAGTGGTACTCTCGTGATACAAAAGAAAGTGGAGCGCTATTTTCATTGACAATTTTGCCTCTTGAGTATTTCTTTTTCTTTTTCGTTTTTTTTTTTTCTCGCGTGTGACAGATTTCTGTTTGCTTTCTTTTTCTTCTCGCATTCGGTTCGTCCTCACGGTCTTGGATACAATCACTACCCACAATACATTCATTGTCGTACCGATAGATATTATTATTATTATCAATATTATATCCTATGTACAAATCGACATCGCCGATAAACGGCACATTATCATTAAACTTAAGCCACAAACGTAAGATTAAAGAATTACTAGGGACCAGTCATAATTTGTCATGCTAATAGTATAAGTAGCAACACGCCCGATATAATCGGTTTACTATCATCATTTTCTTATTCATCACCGTCATCATCATCGTGATTATCTGGGTCGTCGCCATGATTTAGATCGTGTAACACACACATAAACACTCACACACTAATGTCGCAGCAATTTTTTATCACTCCTTCTAGACAGTTTTAATTCATGTTTGAAATTTATTCAGCTATAATATGCCCGTGTTCGTTCGCTCGCCCTAAACTTTTAACTACGTACTAATCTTCTTCATCTTGCTCTTTATTACTTCAATTAACTTAATAGAGGTAATTTATTTTTATCCCTTACTCTTTTTTTTTTTTTTTTGTTTCTCTTCCATTCTCGAATATTCTTGATCGATGTACGTGTGACACTGTGAATTTCGTGGTTTAATCCCTTTGTCCATTGCGTCTCGCTAAAATATCGTTTAGAGATAACTCCTAGTTGCGATACGTATGCATTTTTTGTTAGGGCTCGTTTTTTAATCAAACGAAGAATAAAACAGAATAATATACACGAAAAAATCGAAGGCATGGTATTCATTGAATCTTTTGTGTATATATATATATGTATATATATATGTGTGTGTGTGTGTGTGTGTGTGTGTGTGTGTGTGTGTGTGTGTGTGTGTGTGTGTGTGTGTGTGTGTGTGTGTGTGTGT